ACAGACTGACGCATGCGCTTTGAAAATTTGTCTCTTCAAAAACACTGATGTGTCGCAACTGGTATAGCTAGACTGTGGCGCTGTTTCAACTGTTGAGCAAAGCTAATGAGAGCTGTCAATTCTCATGACAGCTTCGGTGCTTTAAAGCAGTTTACTCCCACTACCCGCTTTTCACCAATCAACGCTCGGTGTCAAAGCGCCGGTGTCTGTATGAGGATCCAGCCTAACTTCTGGTCGTCTTTTCTTTAGCTAAGTTCTAAGTTTGAACCGGCTCTGATTAGTGGAGATTTTAATGGAAAAAGCCCTTGTTGGGGTGGCCCTTTGACTCGCACAGACGTTGAAGGACGCAAGTTGGAACTATTAGCCATCACTAATTCTGTCTGGTCTGTTTTGAATAACGGCGACAGAACGTGGTCTTCATCTGACCTTTTTAACGAATCGACGCTAGATATCATTTTGGCCTCTCCTGAACTAGTCTTAAACTGCCAGTGAAGAGTGGATGAGTGTAGTCACGGTAGTGACCACTACCCGGTTTATATCTGTGTGTACAACAGGTATACGGGCTCTATTCCTTTCCGTCCCTACATATCTTTAAAAACAATCGACTGGAACGCTTTTCAACAGTCTTGTGTTCAGTTTTCTCAAGAATACTCTTCAAGTCTGGACAAAATTGTAGCGGATAATGGTGTAGATGCCACGTATAATTACCTTACTCGGTTGATCTTAGATAGTCTTGTTATGTCAGGCGCTAAGGTCATTAATTCTTCTCGCCTTTCCCGAAAGCCGCCTACACCTTGGTGGGATGACACATGCTCTCGTGAGATCCAAAAAAAAAGGAAAGCGTTTACCATCTTCAGAAACCACCCCTGCCTTGCCAACCTGTCGTCGTATATCAAAATCTCCAAAGAAGTGTCACGATTCCTACGTACAAAGAAAAGGAAGGCCTTTCGGTCTTTCTGTGGCTCTTTGCACGCACGCTCGGATATTGGATCAGTCTGGAACACTGTTAAGGCCTTTTCCCATGCTAGGAACTACTCGCGTTCTGATAACAATAGGAATAATATAAATATGAACGGCTTTTATACGGCATTTGATAAAATTGCTCCTACCCATCAGACTCCTGTACCTGATCACACCAATCTCTTGGAGTGCGTCTCAGCTGTGGCAGGCTCAGTAGATAGTTCTGTGCTCTCTGCGCGTGTCAGCTTAGAAGAGTATCTTTCTGAGCCGACTCAGTTAAAATCAAATCGGCTCCTGGCCCAGATCTTCTTTCCAATGAAGTCATTTCCCATTTTCCACTTGTGTTACACTCCTGCTTCTGCAAGCTGTTTAACATTATGTTGGAGTCCGGGGTATATCCTGCTCAGTGGCAAAACTACTTTGTAGTGTTTATTCCCAAACCGGAAAAGAAAGAAGCGTACCGCCCTATTTCTCTTGCCAACAATCTACTTAAGTTATTGGAAAAGATAGTTCAAAGACGCATGGAGTGGTGGTCTGAACACAACAACATAATTGCTCCCTATCAGTTCGGGTTTTTTTTTTGACGTGGCCTGTCTTGCATAGATAACTTGGCTATTTTCATATCTCATGTGAAACTTGCTAATAATAATTGTCAGTTAACAGGCGCAGCTTTCTTAGATATCGAGGGGGCATTTGATAATGTGGTCTCTGAGGTGTTACTCTTTATACTACGCAGACTGGGTTTTCTCGAGTCTATTGTCAACTTCGTGTCTTCTGTTGTCTCGTCTAGAAACCTGGAAGGTTATATCTCCGGTGTTCACATACAGTCTAGAACTACTACCAGGGGTGTACCACAAGGCTCGGTCCTTAGTCCCTTGCTGTTCAGCTTGTACTTGTCTTTTGTGGAAATGTGTTCGGAAAACCCGAACTGATAGGGAGCAATTATGTTGTTGTGTTCAGACCACCACTCCATGCGTCTTTGAACTATCTTTTCCAATAACTTAAGTAGGTTGTTGGCAAGAGAAATAGGGCGGTACGCTTCTTTCTTTTCCGGTTTGGGAATAAACACTACAAAGTAGTTTTGCCACTGAGCAGGATATACCCCGGACTCCAACATAATGTTAAACAGCTCACCCCTCCCAGTCAAATTACTAATGTATGCTGACGACCTTGTCGTATTCTGTTCTTATTCCTCTATCACTTATGTTGCTCAGCAACTGAATATTGCGCTTACAAATGTTAGCTCACATCTTGAGGAACTGGGATTAAGACTTTCTCCAGAAAAGTCATCGGTGTTCTTCTTCTCGCTGAACAGCCTTCGTAACCCCAAGTGGTTAGTTAAAAAGCATAATGTCAAGATTTCTCTTCACAACGTCGTCATCCTAATCGTCTGGTGTGTCAGATTTTTGGGTGTAATTCTAGATTACTCGTTGCGGTGGAAAAAACATGTAGCAGAAATTAGGAAGCGCGTTCTTCCACGGATCAATATATTCAAAGCCATTGCGGGCATCAAGTGGGGGGTCCACCCAAGTGTTCTCTCTACAGCCTATAAGAGTCTGGTTCGCTCTGTGTTGGATTGGGGTTGTCAAGTGGTATCTCCTCTTGCTCAGCCTGAATGTTTCGTGTTAGATAGACTTCAGTTTGCTTGTATTCGCATAGTTTGTGGCCTTATGAGGTCCACTTCAACCAAATGTACTGTTAGATCTGGTTAACGAACAGCCCCTGGCCTGTCGACGTAGGTTTTTGACCCGCAAGTATTTGTGTCGTGTGGCTTCTTGTGCGGAACACCAACTGGGTTCAATGATGCGAGAAAACGTTCCTTCGTAGAGCCCTATATGTGGAGCCAACAGTTTTGATCTGTTCAACATTTTCAACCACCTTTCGACTGCAATTTAGCAAATAGAAGTGCTCACTCTACCTGGCTTACTATCCTTTTCTTTTTTTGTCAGGTTTTATAAGTGTTGTGTTGATCTTAATTCAGGCATTGAGTTTCGTTCTGCACACTCACCTCAACTGGAATTGAATAGATTCCTAGATAGTATGGGTGCCTCACATGTCTTCTGACGGCTCCATAATACCGTTTATCGGGGATCACCCCGCTCGGGTGGGTTTTGCGGTGATTTCTGAGTACCCTGATCTGGTACATTTCACCAGACTCAATAATTATTCTACTATCTTTGATGCTGAAGCACAAGACATTCTGTGTGCTCTCGAGTACACAAGGGATTTCGCGTTCAGCCTGTCGGTTGTAGCTTCCGACTCCATGAGTGTTTTGAGTTGTCTCATGTCCTCTGACCCTGGAGGCTCTCACCCGAGTGTTGTTTATAAAATAAAATCGCTCACTTCTGAACTCGCTTTGCAAGGAATTAAGGTTTGCTTCTTGTGGGTTCCCGCTCATAAGGATATCAGGAGTAATGAGAATGCAGACTTCTATGCCAAGAAGGCTTTGAGTCTACCTGAACCCGACGGGTCTTTTAAGTACCCTTTCAGTTTCCTGTTTCCTGGTTTCAGGAAGGAGGTGCTGGAAGAGTCGAGAAAATTTTTGCTCGGGGAAGTCCGGACCAAGTGGGGTAGGTACTTCTCTTGGAAGAAACAGGTTCTTGATAAACCTTAGTACAAAAAAGTAAAAAGACCACTCCTTAGATGCTTAATCTCCTTTATCTTACGCATTCGTACTTTTTACACGTGTGCTAGGGCGCACCTTGCAGATAAGTCAATTGTTGAAACAGCCAATTGCGAATGTGGATACACACGCCAAGACATAGATCATATTTTTTTTCATTGTCCTATTCATAAAGACGCTTTTGACTTACTTATACTTGATTTATTCCACAACGGCTTCAGCCTACCGTATAGTGTGGCGGAAGTTGCCTTTTCTAATAACTTACAAGCCATGCATGCATTGTACGCTTTTATCATTAAAGAGCAGTAATGAAATATATAATAAAATAACTGCACAGGACACTTTCAATGAAAGTCTTCTTCAGTTTATTTGAAAATAATATTAAAGTTATACAAGTCGGAAAAATTAACGAGAATATAGAGAAACGAACGTCCGCATGTGATAGCGACCGGGAACAAGATAAGAGCGCGGTACAGCGAGATTCGTCTATTTTTGTATCTGCACATGCGCAGTAGTTTTGTGTTATGAACAAGATACAGTTAGCTCATTCTTATTGGTCGAGTTCAGACAAAAGAAACAGAATAAATTAACCTTCTTATTTTTCAGCATCTCTCTCTCTCTCTCTTTCTCTATCATGTATATGTTTGTATGTATGTGAAGCAATTAAACATTATTAACAAGCAGATATCTAAGTTTACATTTCATCCAACAATCTGAAATCCTCCCTCTACTTATTCCTCCTACAAACTCCCTAACTCAGTCCGATCGCCTGATTGGAGCTGTGCTCCGAATCTCACGTGCAGGGTTTTAAATCTTCCCACTCGCAGACTGTGCCAAGTCCTAGAAATCAACAGTGAAAACTACTCTAGTATACAACTTCGTGATTATTATGAATCCACGGTTTTAATTCAGACTTCAGTGAAGACTTAGAATGGCGTATGGACTAGCAATAAGGGAGAAGTCAGATGGTGCGGAACTGTCGGAACGTTCGTGATTGGTCGTGACTTGATTCCGTCGATTCTGCAATCAAGTCACTACTGAGCCATAAAGAGCCGTTTACAATGGAGAGTTGTAGGCCGTAACAGTAAGAAATTGACAAATCACAATCGATTATTCTTCTGTACTTTGTCTGTGATTGGTCAATTTCTTACTATTACGGCCTACAACTCTCCATTGTAGACGGCTCTTAAGAGAGTCTCCATTGTAGACGGCTCTTAAGGGAGATGCGCAAAACGGACGAGTTTTTGTTCATCCATTTCTCTTCTCAAATTGAACGCGGTATAGCTAGAAAGCGCCCGGTATTTTCTAAGTGTTTTTTCGAACGCAGCTTATTTATTAACATCAACACTAAACTAAGGCCCGAATTCATAGTCGTCTCTCAGATCTCAGATCTCAGATCTCAAGAGAGAGAGAAAGAGAGAGAGAAAAAGAGAGGAAAAGAGATGAGATGAGATCTGAGATCTGAGAGACGACTATGAATTCGGGCCTAAGCCAAACTTGAACAGAGGTTATTTTATGACGTTTGGGCTGGTGTTTGCTAAGTAGTTAATGTTTTTATTATATTGTTCTCGATTGTTTGGGAACTTTTGGATAATAGTTTTCTCTGTACTCAGATTGCATAAGTTTTGGCGCACAAGTTTTGATCTTACACAACATCAATCAATTAATCAGCGTTTGTCAAGTAGCCCTCCGAAAGTTAAAAAACAAATAGATCTGAACGAAAAAGTTTTTTCTATCTATTAATAGAATTTGTTTATTTTTTCTATTAATAGTGTATATTTAATATATGCATTGTTGAGATAGTTGTAGACACAGTCAATATTCAACATCCTGGATTCACAAAGTTTATTTTCAAATAATTTACATACGCTAAAAACAGCCTAAATGACGGTAAGAATAATTGATTTTATTTTTTGTGAAAATTAAATAGAGAAAATGAAGATTTGCTATTACAAAAAAATTTATTTTCTGCATGTACATATGTTTAAGCACATATTAAGATGTGTTTATAAGTGGATGCATTCAGCAGAACACAATAGTTATGAAATAATTTATTAATAATAGTGATAGTCTAAAATAATTATGACAGTCTAGTAACAGCCCTTACGAAAAAGAACTACTGCCGATTACATATAAATAAAGTCAGTAATATAAATATTACTGACAATGACATAAGAATATTATTAGATATTACAGAAATCACTGAAAATATTACTGGCAATTACACAGAATGCCAGTAATTTTTTCGTACCACTGCCGCAATATATTACTGCCAGTAATTCTTTTTCGTAAGGGGAGCACTCAGAGCTCAACTCAAAATTATAATATATATGTTCAGTGACTACTTTCAATTTTGGAAACATTGTATATTTAAAACATTAACAATTTAACTTTATATGAAGTTAAATTATATGTACAATATTATTGTTTACAATACCAAAAGATTTATAAATGTGTTATAAAATGATACAAAAAAGATTTCTTGTAAAATGTTTGTTTTCTTACATATTAAATCAATATATCATGATTTTGTTATTAACATATCATCTTTTAACTGTTACCTTGTCTGTGTGATTTTTATGAATACACATTCTTTCTTTCTATATGATTTTTTACTAAAGATTAGAGTTTAACAGTTTTAATACTATAAAGTAGCATATGAATAAATATATTAAGGCCCTTGAACCACAAAAAAGTTGAGTCAAGTTCTAATATTGATATCTGGCAAGAAAAAGAATGTTCAGTAGGAACTTTTAAAGCTTATATCAGACCATAAATAATAAAAATTATAGATTATTAATTAGTAAAAAAATTAAATTAAGATTGAGATTAAATTGAAATTTTATCAATCAGAACAAAGTTGATTAAACTTGAGTAGTTTATTAAGTTTTCTTTATTTTGATTGGCTAAATTTTCTATCTTATCTGTACTTGATACAAACAAAAAAGTCGAAAAAAATCGGTGTTTTGTAATTATTGCATTCTGTGCTGAGCATAGATGTTGTAGTTATACATGTATATTTGTATATCCCTCTGTCTGTTATTTTTTTTTTTTTTTTTTTTTTTATCACAGAATACTATAGATGGGACACATTTTTATTCATCACAGTCCAATTTTCAACAAATAATGGGTCAGCAAAATGCACAGCAGCAACAGGTTGAGCCTTGGATGCAAACACCTCAAGTACCACCCATAACTATTCCATGGAGTGTATCAGAAGCACATCAAACAGAAGTAATTAGATTTACAGGAGAGACTAGTTCTGGACCAATAGTTCATCAGAAAAGAAAATTAGATATGCCAGATCTTATAGACACGTAAGTACTTATTATACTTTAGATCATGGGTGTCCAATCCGCGGCCCACGACAGCTAATAATGCAGCCCCACAAAATCATAAACTTTTAACATTATTATGTGATTTTACCAATATTTTTTATGACTCGATTACGCGGTGCTCGAGCGCGGACTGCGTTCAATTGTTGCGGAAGCAACATGTGATGTGATACACGTGTGTTTTGTTTCAAGTAATTGTGTGTGGCGGGCGTGAAAGGCGGAGTTAGCATCGCGCAGTTTCTTACACAGCGTTCAATTGTTGCTTCTGCAATGCTGTGTTTCCTTTGCTTCACAATCATGTCTTATCTATGTCATCACTTTTTGGCAGTATGTACATTTGTAAACAACTATTTTCAAGGATAAAGCATACAAAGAGTGAAATCAGATCAAAAATTTCTGATGAGATTTTTGAGAATTCACTAAGAATTGCAACCACTTCTATCAAACCAGACATTGTGTGATGCATTAGTTTCACAAAAACCAAATCAAATATCCCATTAGTTTTATGTTTGTTTTATGTTCTCCTTTTTTCAAAGTTATAATGAAAAATATAATTTTTTAATGAAAATGTTATAATAAAAAGTAAAGGAAGTTTTGTTACTTATATACATTACCTATATTATATATGTATATTGTATATGCCCAAGACACTTTCTTTTCACTCAACGTGGCCTCAGAAAGCCAAAGAGTTGGACATCCTTGCTTTAGATATAAAAACAATGTTTTATTTTGCTAATTAATTACAAAGTACTTAATTAGCGAAATAATACATTGTTTTTGTTATTTTTAATTACAATATCTTATACAACATATAATTTTACATTTAGGCATCAAACAAAACAGTTTATAACAGAAGAGAAAATGGCTGCTCATTTTAAAAGTTTGCGTATTAGTTCTACTTCTGAATCTGAAAATTCAATGTCATCATCTACAGATCATACATTATCTTTCTCATATAAACAGTCAGATATGGATTTAGATGTTGATGCAACAAATGCAGTAAATACTTCACAAAAAGGTGATATACATCCAAGATTAGTTCTTTCAGAAGAACTTAAGCGAATGCAACAGGAACCTATATTGCCATCGACTCTTTTATCTAAATTGTGAGTATAACTTATTTACATTATTTGTTTTCTATCATGAATGTTTTTCTATATATATGAAGATATATATTTCTCTAACTAAAAGAAATAATGCAACCTTTACGAGTCAAGCGCTAGATATACGCGCAAAATAAACTTTTTTAAATTATAAGTTAATACATAAGTTAATACATATTAACACACATATTAACTCGAAAAACTACTTTTATTCAAAAACCAACATCAAATAATTAACATATTGAAATTTATATCAGATAGTATAGTTTGCATCTCATGTATAAAAAATTTTTTCAAATTAATGAAAACAAACTATTGGAAAAAATACATTATTCTTATACTCATTATTACATACAGGGTGTCAACAAAATACCGTCCAGTAAGTACATAGCGTTATTCCTCATTAACCTTTAGATTGCCAGCATTTTCCATTAAAATAGTTTTTTTTCTCAAAACTTTGTGTATATTAATAACATACACGTTATGTAGAATCTCGAGGTTTATATGAAGCCCTAAAAGGGGCTTTTGCAACGGGGAACGAAGGTCACATATGGGAAAACATTTTTTTCTGAAAATTGCCATATTTTAGTTTCTAGTTTGAGTGTAAATCTGTGAAATTTGGAACTTACGAATAATACTGACGATATGACCGAATATAAATGAACAGGCTTCTATTGAAAAATAGCGTAGAATAAAAGGAGAACAATTTCTCATTTTTGCGCATTATTCACTATTTATATATCTATTTTTTTTATATTTCACATATTCTATAATTTTTATTCTTCTGTTGAAATTCGTATGGTAGAATCGTGGACAGTAAGTGACACCCATCTGCGTGCGCGCGCGCATGTGTGTACGTGTGTGAGTGAAATAAGCGAAGTATTAATATTTTTCAAATGAATCTGTGATTAACTAAAGAATAATACCGTAATTGGTATTTGGCAAATATAAATAAACACACATGTTTACATATATGTATATATATATATATATATACAAAAGCGAATATATTTACTGTATATTTCCTTACAAAAAAGAACTACTGCCGATTACATATAAATAAAGTCAGTAATATAAATATTACTGACAATCACACAAGAATATTATTAGATATTATTAGATGAGAATATTATTAGATAAGAATATTATTAGATATTATTAGATATAAGAATATTATTAGATATTACAGGAATTACTGAGAATATTACTGGCAATTACACAGAATGCCAGTAATTATTTCGTACCACTGCCGCAACATATTACTGCCAGTAGTTCTTTTTCGTAAGGGTTTACTACTAGGGTATATATGTATTAATTGGTATTTTAACGATCAATTGAACTCCTTAGAAATATAGAAATATCAAAGCCAAAAGGGGCTTTTGCGGCGGCCTAAAGAAAATTAAAAACTGAGTCGAAAAGTCCTAAATCATTTTTTTCTATTATATGTAATAAAAGATTATATGTAATATTTTTTTCTATTATATGTAATAAAAGAGTAATTATTGAGTAAATCCGGCCAATCAGCGGCCACTTTTAGTTAGGCGCACGTCAGTGAGTCGCACGCTTGGTAGTGTGCGTGAGCGCTTCGCCGCTGTACGAACCGGGAGTCGGTGGCGGCACGGCGACGACATTATGTCTTCACGTATGTCGCTAGCATAAAAAGCTAAAGGTCGGTGCTGATTGGCTTGATTTACTCAATAATTACTCTTATTACATGTAATAGAAAAAACTGGTTCAGGACTTTTCGACTCAGTTTTTAATGAGGAATAATACTATGTATTTACTAGGTCTTTCGTTGATACTCTGTATATAATTTTTTATAATTAAAAAAATATGAAGAAAAAATTTATATAAAGGGGTGTGAATCGGGTAGTTTGAACTGGTTGCAAGGTGTTGTGCAGTAAATGACAAAATGTATTAGATATCCTACGTTTCGGCTTTATTCCATAGCTATTATCAGTGGATTACATTATTTACAAATTGTATGGCAGACTTGAAAAATTAGATATAAAATATGAACTGAATTAGATTATAAATGAATAAAATATAAAATAAATGGCTAATAATAATTAAAACAATAAAACAATTAAAACTGAGATTCATCTCGGGCTCTGTGAAGTCTTTAACTAATAAATGAATGATAAGTCGTTGAGAGCCGTTCGCTGGATGTTATGCAGGAAATATGTCTGTATATATATGTGCGTGTGTACACATATATAGTCGAATTCATGTTTGCGAGACAAACTCCAAGTGCCTCGGTAGCCTAATAAGGAAGGCGACGGCCTGGAAAGCCGGAGATTCCAGGTTCGACTCCTGGCTGAGAAGTTTTTTTCGTAATATTTTAAATTAATTTGGGGGGATATTCGGGGTTCTTCATATACGAGATGCAAATTGAGCATTCTATATGATTATTAGAATTGTAATTACAATTCAAAAAAACTCACGTGAAAAAATGTGAATTCGACTATATATGTGTACACACGCACATATATATATATATAGACATATTTCCTGCATAATATCTAGCGAACGGCTCTCAACGACTTATATATATCATTCATTTATTAGTTAAAACAATAAAAACCATAAAGTCGTTGAAATCCATGGATGTAGGTGGAGGGTAATAAATTAATACTAACTCGAGTGTTTCTTCTTTAATTAAACGGAATGTTTCAATCAAATATATTTGTGATCATCTTCAGCCAAATTACAGTACAGAAAAAATTTTTTTAACAAGAGTTATGTACGATTAAGATATTATTATCGTCGCGAGATGGTGAAAAAACATAATAGTAAAAGTAAGAGTCGTCGTCACAATTAGATTAAAAAAACTGATTTATTTATTATTTTAACTCACAATTACAATTTCACTTATATTTAGTTCACGACGCTTACAATAATTACTTACTTAGACAGAACGATAGAAAATAATCTGGTGAAAACTGACTAACTCGACGTAGTTCGGGTCGGCCTTTTTATACTGAAGACATGAAAGGTTCTGGAATTTTCCTTATGTGGAAATTTTTAAATGGACTTATGAGTCAGTTCTTTGGATAAGATAGGTACAGGAATGTTTCATGCAATAGTGTCTAATCTCGGGTTAAAGTCCTAGAGATAGAACTAGCACGAATGTTCTAGGCGAGGGTCACAAAATAAACGTACCTTATAAACGGTCGAAAAACAAACAGTCACAATATGCGACGAGTCAGAAAACCCAAACAAGAATAACCGAAGATGGACGGTTATTAACAAGTCATATCTCCGTATCCATAATTACTTTAAACCAAGGGATGGTAATTAAACATTAATATAATCAATTCAAGTAAAAAGAGATAGGGAAATGGCAATAACGAGCTAACACCAGATGTTCAGGTACAATTATTTTTTAATTCAAAGATTATAAAAATTTTTTAACAAACGTTTCGATCCACTATGGGATCTTCTTCAGTTTTTTAATAAAAACTTACAAAAAAATAATAATCTATTCAAGATCATGAAGAATATGGATAAGAAAGGATACGTTACATAGATATACAGTATGAGAAAAAGAGACGGAAATGACAATCACGTAACCGTCAGTATTACGCAAAAGGACGCAAAACGTCCTCCCGCTTCGAATGTAACTGACAGATTGAGAGATCCCCTTTATATACAAGATACATATAACGGTCTCATCCCCACCACAACGCTTTAACCGAAGGAAGATTAAGTCGCCTTGTAATTTTCCAAAAATAAAAAATNTGGTTTCAGCTTGTCCGTGTCCGACATGACGTTAATTGAATTGCTTTGTAATTTGATGTGTATCATTTCGGAAACGGATCTCTTGAAAAAGGAAGATTATGTGTCCAAAACTTTGACATTTTGCCAATTGAAATTATGGTCCGTGTCAATTCTATGCTATGTACATGCTAACTACAGAAACATTCTCCACGCGACGATTAATTTGATTTTTGTGTTCGGAAACCTTAGTCTTGAGTTGTCTCATAGTCTGGTCCATGTACGAAGCATCGCAATCATTACATTGCAATTTATAAATTACGTTTTTTTGTTCAATATCTACAGGATCTTTGATATTTTTGATAAATCGATTCAATTTATTCAGACTTGTATAAGCTAACATATTTCCATCTTCCGTTTTCAACGATTTTGAAATTGTGTGCGATATTTTATTAAGAAAAGGTATAACGAAATAATTTTTAAGTTGGTTTTTGAAGTTGACTCCAAACTGTCCGATATTCCGTTAATTTTGTTTGCAATCAAATATTTTACGCGGTCATTGATGAATTTAAAAATTATTTCCAACGAAAAAATAAGAAAGAATCCCGTCAAAAACATTTTTGACGGGATTCTTTCTTATTTTTTCGTAAATGAGGGGATCATCAAGTAAGCCATTAATTTTTTCAACATTAACAGACCGATCAATTCAGTCAAAAAATATTAAAAAGTGAACAAGTCAAAGAGTAATAGTCAAAAGTAATGAAGTCAATAGGGAAACGAAGTAATTATATATAGATTTAAATTTAAAAAATTAATAAATTACTATGAAAGGTAAATGTAAACTAGTATCAACTTACTAATTGACAGATTATCAAATTGACTCCTACTGATACGCAGCACACAGCAACCAACAAAAACTCTCAACCGTCATAATAAACGTATCAAATATAAATAAGCAATGTCGTGACAACAGCCGGCAATAAGATTGACAAACGTCAAAGTGGTAGGAGAAACAACTCACGTGACTGACTACCGAACTTTTTGATCAGGAAAATATAAATCGGATCCAAAAATTCAGTGTCTTTCATCAAGAGGCACGGTAGTGCCTCGCGCCAAGTCACGCACAACAAAGTGGCACTCGAACTGCGCGAGCACACTGTGCCTCTTAGACGCGAAAATCAGGCATTTCAATGAAGGGGAGATTTTTAATCAGCCATTTTTTAATAATGACTGAACCGATCGACTTCTTTTTAGTCTCGTTCAATTCATTTGTTGAAAAAATTTAAAAAAAAGTATTCTTGCGTTTTTGTTATTTGTTTCTGATTTCTCGAGATATACGACGATTAAATTTTGAAGTAAAAAATTTACGATTCACAAACGTAGTCATCGTCATTATCGTGCGACCAAATTGTGTGCATGTTCGTATGCCTACTGCCAGATGGCATACATATACGAGCGTGTTTTAAGACGAAAAAGAAAAAACACAGGAAGTGAGTTAGAGAGAAAAAGAGAGAATCACGTAGCACCATGCGTAGCACGAGGTAGTGCCGGTAGTGGTTTGCGTTATTCGCGCCGGCAACACTTCCGACAGTACCGATCGCTTCGACAATGTTCCTTGTGGCGTAGTGAATTCGCGCCGGCAACACCTCAGATATAACTTTT